TAGATACACAACATTGTATTTATTAATAAGAATCACCCCAAAACAAATAACATTAGGGAAGGCATGGAAAAGAAGAATGGAGACTGCAATATGATTTCAGACCAGAATTCACTTATGGGGAAGCAGGTAGAATAGGAAGTAATAGAAGTTTAACTGGCTAACCAGTATTATTAAGCAGGCGAAGGGCAAGTGCGAGTGCGTGCGTGCACACACACACATACATAAACACTCACACACAGCCTCCAGGAAAGACAGAAAAATTAGGGGCAGAAATGTCCAGTCAGATGACTGGATCAACACACCTGAAGTGATCTTTAGAGCAATGTAATATTAGACACTGAACGACCAAGATATACTACAAAAGGACTACCCAACCAGCCTGGGATCTACTGGAAGCCCTTCATCATGATTATCACCTCTGGGACTGCCACCTGGGCCTTACTCCCCTCTCCAGAGCCTGGAGGAAGGTGTAGTCTGCAGTGACATCCTTCTACCTGCTCCTCTGTGGTATTTTTACTAACAAACACTCAGGGCACCAGAGTCTCTGCTTACTGAGGATCTTTAATGTCAATCATCTTCCCATCCAACCTAGTGAGCTCAAGGATCTGAGAAAACGAGCAGTCGCAGCCCCTTGCCAAAAGATGCAGGGCTCCTGACGGAGAAGCTAGCTCAACAAACCCAACACCCTTAAGAACAGTTTCATCCTTCCTTTTTTAAAAGTTTTTTTTTTTTTTTTTAAGATTTTATTGGGCAATTGGGGGAGGGGAACAGCGTTGGGGAATCGGGGAAGAGGAACAGACAAGTTGCTGTCCTTTTCTTCTTCAGTCTAGCTGTGGAGGATGTTGCTTCACTGGCCCATGTATTACCGGTATCATTGCGCTCTTCCCAGGTGAGGCAGTTGCTCGCCGGCCATTGGACGGCTGCTGATGGCGGCTAACGGCGGTTCATGCCAGCAGCCAGGCAGCCCCACTGCAGCCTATGCTGTTGCTGGCGACTCACGGCAGCCCAGCTCCAGGTGGAGCTGTTGTTCACCATCTTAGCTGTAGAGGGCGCAGCGTCACTGGCCCTCATGTGGGATCCGAACCTGGGCCCTGCTGCTCAGAGCTGGAGTCCCAAGCCAACTCCTAACCAAAGTGCCACTCAGCTGGCCCCTTAAAAAGTTTTAATGCAAAAGGAAATCTAGCTGAGATGATCCTATTAGTACTCATTTTTTCCCCCAAGTACCAACAGATCCTTTAGGACCAGCTTTAACTTTCCCAGGCACTGTGAAATCATCTGGTATATAGCTTGTATCACTGGCCTTTCTAAGTGAGAATTCCACTCGGCTAGATATTTCAACTGTCTAAAATGCCTGTTACAATCCTCCACCCCACTCTGGGGAGGGTAGAGTACAAGCAATCCCACCCCTAGTGTCTCTTACTTGCTGTCATCACAGAGGCTCCCAAAACAGAAAGGAGTGGGGAAGAGGGAAAATCTCACTGGCAGTGCTTTAGGAGGGCCAAAGTTTAGTCATATGACAAAGATGAATGTCATAGTACACAATATAGTGCAATAAAATCTTAAGAAGTTTCAGTCTTCTATACTGTTCATGGTAAAATATTAATTGGACTATATGGCATATTACAAATATAAACATATATTCATTTGCTAATCTTTGTAGGTCCGAGATTTTGTCTTCAGTGTGCATCTATTGTTGAACTGCAAGCTGTCTTTCACATGCCACACTCATTGTACATGACCAGTTCTACTGTACATTTTCCAGTTCTATAAAGAAAAGCAAAAACCTGAAAACATTCATGAAGTGATCTATGCGCCAAGTCCTTCCAGACCTTTAAGACTCCTTCCCTATCTTTTTCAGTTTGCTTATCCATATAATTGAGCAGTAATTTCTTTTAGTGACTTGAAATTATTGAGTCATTCCAAAGCATTTGAAATACACCATCATCCTTTTTTAATTCAAATTTCACTGGTTTACATCATATTTAATTACACTGGATAATTACAATAACAAGTACCATGAACATGAACAGATACAGAAATAAACATAACTGACTCTTTGTAATGACTGGTTGGGAGGCCACAAGGTCGGAGATATATCAGGCCCAGGGCCTCGCAGAGTCAAGCGTTCGGTGCACCAAAGTTGGTTCAAGTGTGGGTTGAGTAAGAGAATGTTCACTGTACATCAGGTTCAAAGTACTGTAATAAATGTTAGTTACCATAAACACCCCAAACTTAAAGATTTTAATTTATCAAAATGTCAATCACAATTAATAAACTTGTAAGTTGGGGGGATTTTCCTGCTGTGGTTTCTTGTCTGTCAACAGGAAAAGCATCCAGAGATTTGAAGGAAAGGGAACTCGCATTTTCATCATCTTTTTGGGTCTGTTTACCCTTCCATCTCTTCCACTAGACTGTAAGCTTCTTGCATGTCTGTCTCCTTCGTAACTGTATCACAAAACCTGACAGTAAGTGCTCAACAAACTTGCTCAGTAAACTTGCTGAGTACGTTCACACTTCCCAACCTGGATCAGTATTTCAGCTGCTATCACTGCTGGCCTATAAATAAAATTCTCTGGGGCTGAAATATCTGCTAATATTTTCCATCTCTTTTTCTTTACATTGTATGTATGTTTCCTGACACTAATTAAATTTGTAAATCAGGGTCCTATTTATAGCTACATTAGTATTGTATTAATGCTAATAATATTCTGTAAAGTATTCTATCTTGATTAAAGTCATTAGTGCCCATTAAAAAATAAAACTGGGTTGAATGTCCTATTGAGTTTGAATTTCACTTTCCCACAATGTGTGGCAACTAATACTTCCAGTTTCTAGCACTTCTATCAAGAACATAAAAGTTATCCAGGAACTAACAAATTCTCCCCATCCAACACAATTACATAATCTGTTGAGCAGCACCCTACAGATTATTTCTGGTCCAAAATCACTCCCAATTAAGGGATCTCATCAAAAACTATTCAATTTTTTGGGGCAGGAAGGGATGTTTATCTTTAAATGCCACATTATAGAATGCTGCATCCATAGTAGGCTCTTAATACACACTTCTTTAATTGAACGGAACAAGTCTAAAATGGACCCATTTCATTAATTTTCTTTTTCTTCCTAGGCTTTAGCTGTAACATCCACTGAATCTGTAATTAAAGATTTGCATGAATCTTCTGCTCATTAACCAATGTTCAAAAAGAAATTCAGTAGAGGGAATTCAATGTTCAAAAAGAAATGATCAGTCAAACATATTAACATTAATGCTGCTAATGTCAATACATAATAAAACTTAAACAAAAAATGGAAAATCAAGTCTTCGTTAGTTTGATTATGATCTATAGAGTTTTTAATTTACCCAAAATGCTCACTTGTTCTCAATTTCTAGTATGACTTTTTTTAACAAAGTCTTGCATCATTCATACAACTAAATTATATACTCTTCTACTTATAATTGGGGTGCTCACTGACTGAACCACAGTACTGTACTAAGACATTATTATGCTAATTAGTTTTCCCTACAGTTAACAGCCTGTGATTCCATCTGATTTCCTATAGTATATAATATGATAATGAAGAGAACAAAGCCTCTAGAGCAGTAAACACCACCAATAATTTTACTTTACTCAAGTATGTATTCCAAAACAGTACATAATTTACAGCATGGCCCTGCTTAATGCTCCTATTACAATGCATCTGTTTTGGGGGACTTTTACAATGTAAGCTAGGACACAAAGTATACATTTCCAAATCTGGTTCCTTCTGTTTTGCTAAAAAGGAGCACACACGATCCCCCAATAGCACAATTAGTGCTTTATTAGCTTTTTCTCAGGCAATAATCTAAATTCCCACTTCCTCCTAAATATCTCTGGACAGACACTCCTGCCAATCCATCTGTCCCTTTCATCACAGCTTCTTTTTATAACTAACGGGTCAAGTTCCTTTCCCCCCATTTCAACACGATGCACTGTACTTGCAGCCCTTCCACCATAGCCCACTGCTGAATGCCTGACTATAACATATTGAATTTCACTGTCCTTCATTGTTTCCAGTTTAACTGCCATCTTACCACCATGCACGAGAGAAATGCGTTCCCACAGGCATCTTATGAATTTCTAAAGTGCTATTCTTTTTACAAAACGTGTTCCTTCTCTGAATTCCCTATATCACCACAGAAACGGCTTTGAGAAGCTGAGGTTCTTTGTTTTTAAGTAACCTACGCAAAGAAGAAACTGACTCGAAGCATCTCCATTTTGCTAATTTAATCTTAAGGGTCTTCCTATAAGGCAGGGGAGGAATGTCAGGACAAACATCTTAAATACCACTTTTGGCCTTCCCAATTAAAATGAAAGATTTTCAGCCCAAAGATTATCTTATCAAATGTCCTTTCTTATCAGGCTACACCCAAAGGGCTATCCAGCGCATTGTAAAATAAACAACTGGCTCTGGATTTTACACAACGCCCTAAATCTTCCTAAGACCTCCCCGCCTTGGGCTCAAAGACACATATAATCCCTCAGTAAACCCCAAACCTGCCAATGAAGTGGACTATTTCTCTGCCACAAAGGGGCGGCCTGCGCCTCGTGCACGGCGGCCTCTGCACACATGTGCTGGACTGACAAGTGCGGAGCTGCCCTTCCTGGATCCAAAGCTGGAGGCCTGGACCGAAAGCCACACACACTTTCCCACCCACTGCCTTCTCCCCGCGGCTACTCTCCCGAATGACAGGCAGCCGGCTCCGAAGTGCCCGGGATGCAGGAGGGCATGCCCCTCGGCCCGGCCGGTGCCGAGTGGCCGCTCTCAGACCCACTTCCCTCCGCCCACCGTCCTTTTTCCTTCCCCCTCATCTTCGCCGCAAGAAATTCCGTCGGACCTTCATTCAGGCCGACCCTAGCAGCCCTTTTCAAAGCCCCGGCACACCGTCCCCCGATGGCCGCGCCCCCGCGCCTAGTCTCCAGGCGGCCGCCAACCCCGGCGACCCCCGGCCGGCGCCTCACCTCCTCCTCGCTCTCGCTGCGGAAACACAGGCACGCGGCCCGCTTCTTGTAGCCGTCGCCGTCATAGGTACGGGTCTGATTCGACTTGAGCTTCATCATCCTCAGGGCCCGGGTGGGGGTGCTGTGCGGGTCGCGGGAGGAGAGGGTGGGGAGCCCGCTCCGGACGGCCGCGCGCGCGCGCGCGTCCCCGACTCGGCCAAGGGAAACAGGGAGGGGGAGCCGCTTATCCGCTACGAGCTCTGCCGCTGGTCCGCCACGGCCTCATTCTCCCCGTCCCAGGCCCCGCGCTGCCGCCGCCGTCACGGCTGCCGTCCCCGCTGCCGCCACGGCCGCCGCCGCCTCTACCGCCGCCACCCCCGACGACGACCGCGCCGCCATCTTGGGCACGCTACGTCAGCGGCGTAAGGCCGCGCGGGCCTGCGAGACGGCCACGCGCTCGAAGCGCAGGCTGCGTTCGGGAATCGCGACCTCCCAGTCCGCGCGGCGTAACGAGCGTCTCAACAGGACCAAGCGACTCGAGCTAGCCGCTACGCCAGGAGCGTAGGGGTGGAGTTCGTCGTGTGCGCTCGGAGGAAGCGTGGGGGAGAAAGGGATGCGGGAGCAGGGCTGCTCCGCCCCGCTAAGGAATGCCTTGGGTGGCGACACGGCTATTTGGCCGTGCGGCTTCGCGGGAGGGAATGCGGGGCCTTTCCCAAGGTCACGCCGCGGGTCCGCGGCCGAAGATGACCCAAGGTCAGGCCGACGGGGCCTTGGCCCTGCTTGTCCAACTGGGAGGGTGTGGGGGGAAGGTCTGGAAGAAAAAGTGGGATGTAATTAAACACAGTGGAGAGTGCAACCCGAGATGCCTGGTATTGAGGACGGGCCTGAAAAGGCCTGATAATGGGGGGTACGGGTGGAGTGAGGGGGCACGTTGGGAGGGCGGTGCACGTTTCACTGACATCCAGAAGCTCTGGAAGTCTTATGAGCCTGGGGCATCTAGTCCATTAGAAAGAACCAATGTTATCCTGAAATCCTTTATTCGTGCAATAAAACATATGGTTTCCTCTTAAGGTAAATATGAGGAACAGAAAGGAAGATATATGTATGTGTGTGTGTGTGTGCGTCTGTGTATGTACACACATAATGCAAATCATAAGGCATCATTGTTTTTAGCAATAAGTGAGTATATATTGAAGATGTCAAACAGACTCTCCAGGGAAAAATACACAAGCAGACACTCGCAAGAAGGAAAAACTTGAGTAAGACATATGAATGTTAGCAGCCCAGACTAAACCTAGTGTCATGCCAGTGCCCTAAACATATTGAAAATCCTGTGTAGGATTTGTCAGTGAATTGCTTATTACTATTTTTTAAATTTGCTTGTATTTAACATAGTCAGAAAAGATCAGAATTTGAAATCAAACAAACCTAGGTTGGAATCTCAATTACATCATTTATTTACCTTTATAAAAGATAATAAACCAACTTGGGTCCTGGCACATAGTAGGTACTCAGTATATTGTAGCTAATATTATTGACATTTCAGTTAATTTCGGTCATTCCTCGTAACAGAATTCCCAAAAATCTCGGTCATTTTGGATGTCTTTCTGGCTTTCTCCTTTGCCATTATGTCTCTAAATTAAAAGAAAGAAAAAAAAAACCCCAAAAGTTCTGATTGTAGAAATAGTATAACATGCACATTGTCAAAGTGAAAAATACAGAGAGCCTAAAAATACTAAATCATGAATGTCTTTGAGCACATTCTGTAGAGTTCTGTATCCTTTTTTTTTGTCTTCCCCCCGCCCCCCATGTCATTAAGTTTTTCAAAATACTATTTGTAATTATTGCCTAATAGTCCATCATAGGGTTGTACCATCAATTATTTTATCCTTTTCTCATTGTTAGAAGCTTAAGTTGTATCCTCTGTTTCTTTAGAACAGCAATGAACATCCCTGTACATAAATCCTTGTCTCAAGGTGTGATCAAACAATACAGTGAATGTTTAAATTTAAAAAAAAAATGATACACTAAAAGAACCGTTGCCATTAATCCCCCTCAAAATACTCCCTCTTACTTCAAACACACATCCCATTGTACTTGTCACTTTCTGAAGCAGTTCTGGAAGTCCTCTTTCATGAGTGTCTAGTTGTGCTGTCATGGCTGCCTCAATGTCCTGAATTGATTGAAAACATTTACCTTTCACAGTTATTTTGGCTTTAAGGAGTTCACACGATGCCAGATCCAGAGAATAAGGTGGATGAGGACACACATTAATGTTTTTATTTGACAGAAATCGCTGTACCAGAAGTGATGTGTAACAGGTAACCTTTCTGTTGTGATCACAAAATACAGGGAATGCTGCTGCCGAGTGTCATCCAGTGGAAAAGCACGGATCTTCAATATGGGAAGCAGCGCATCAAACCTTAGTAACTGTGTGACAAGTTTCAGCTTGTTCACTGCAGTCAGTCAGGTGTGAGCTATGGTTGAGAGAAGGTGTGTTTTAAAGTGTACTGCAAATCATCCTCCATCATGACAACGCTCCATGTCACACATCGCTTCTGGTATATGGCAATTTCTGTCAAACAAAAATATGGTGTGTCCTCATCCACCTTATTCAGCAGCTCTGGCACCGTGCGACTTCTGGCTCTTCCCCAAATCAAAATGACAGGCCTTCGAAGCAGCCACGACAGCACAACTAAACACACTCATGAAAGAAGACTTCCAGAACTGCTTCAGAAGTGGCAAGAATGATGGGATACATATGTTCAAAGGGAGGGGGATTAATGGCAATATTGTTGGGAGCCGGCTGCACCTCAGTGACTGACATGGCCTATCACACCGCTATTGTGACAAATCCTGAAGCTCTGGCTGAGAAACAGATACTGCTTTATGTTTTGGAAAATTTAAATTCCCCTTTGGATGCCCCCAGTAGGATAAAGATCTGACACCCCTTCTTATATTGATTGTTTTATTTACTTTAGATAAGTGAGTTTTGGACATATTACGATAATTCTGTTTTACTGTTAGTTTCTTAATGATAGATTCTTAGTGATAGACTAGTTATGCACCTTATAATTCTTAAGATCCTGTTTAGACAGTAGTGTTTGAAATAGTTGCTAAGTAGTAAACATCCTTTAAGTGCCAAGGCAGGAACTCAGCTCTGGCCATTATCTGAAGAAATTGAAACATAGTTAGAATAAGTTAGTCATTAGTGAAGAACAGATCCGGCTGTACCCTGTAATAGAAACATCATGAGGAAGTAAAATTCGGAGAAAAACAAACTTCTAAGGAAAATAGACCCTGGGAAGGAAGGAACATTGAAACTATGTAGAAAACGATTTCCTAATGGGTAAAGGTTTAAACTTGGAAAAACAACTTTGGGAAAAGCAGCTCAATGACGTAAACTGTTACCTGCCCAGTATAAAAAGGACAGGCTGTAAAAATAAAGTGAGACATTAATTCTTGAAAGCGCTCCTGTGTCTCCGCGCCTTCCTTGCTGACGCCATCTCCACCTGAGGGAATCCCTGGACTTGTGGGAGCTGGTCTCCCGCACAATATGTCTTTACTGTAATAATTTTTTTAAAAGATTTTATTGGGGAATTGGGGGAGGGATACAGAGTTTGGGAATTGGGGAAGGGGAGCAGTGAAGTTGTTCTTCAGTCTTCGTTGTGGAGGGCGCCAGTCGCCATCTGGCTTCCCATGTGCAGCTTGTGGCCTCTAAGCTCAAGGTGCTGTGTTCAGTCTTAGTTGTGGGTGGGTGTAGCCACCATCCCATGTGGGAGTCAAGCCAGCAACCTTGTTAAGAGTGCAAGCTCTATCCACTGAGCCATCTGGGCAGCAGCTTAGCTCAAGGTGCCGAGTTCAGTCTTAGTTGCGGGTGGGCATAGCCCACCATGGAACAGGCAATCTTGTTGTTACACCAGCTGAGCCATCCTGCCACCAGTTGGCAGCAACAGCTCAGCTCGAGCGCAGCGTCACTGGCCCATGTGGGAATTGAACTGGTGGCCCTGTTGCTCAGAGCTCGCACTCTTAAGCCAACTCTTAACCAATTGAGCCACTCGGTTGGCCAATAATTTTCTTTTTTTTTTAAACATTCACAGTATTGTTTGATCACACTTCATAAATTCCCAGAGGCAGATCCAGTGGGTAGGAACATATTAATGGTTCTTGCTGCCTATTGCCAAAACCCTCACAGAAAAGTTATAGTACAATCACAACCAGCAGCTACACTGTACTATCTGCCGCTTTCTTAAAGTTGAGAGAGTTGCAAATGACACTTCAGGTTTCAGTACGCAAGAGTAAAGATAATAAGCAAGTTAGATTATAAACTCCTTGAGGGCAGTCTTGTGTCATTTACCTTCATATCTCCATCTCCTAGCACAAGACCTTGTCCAAAATAAGAGCTCAGTAAATGTTGATTGAATAAATCAGGGTTCGGCAAACTTTTGAGACAGAAGAGCC